TTTTGATATCATTTCTTTGGATGTTATATCCCTTTTCACGAACGTGCCGATTGAGTTAGCAGAAGAAAGTATAATGAAACGATGGCACTACATAAGAGACAAATGTTCAATTCCTTGCGATGAGTTTCTGCTGGCTATTCGGTTCGTCTTGAATTCCACATATTTTTCTTTTAACAACACATTCTATCAACAAACCTTCGGCACTCCTATGGGCTCTCCACTATCCCCGATTATTGCTGACATAACAATGCAGGACCTGGAAATTAGAGCACTTGAGATACTGCCATTTGTTCCTCTATTTTTTGTCAGATACGTGGATGACATCGCGATGTCGGTTCCCTCTTCGTTAAAAGCCGCCACTCTTAACACGTTCAATTCGCTCCATAAGAGACTACAGTTTACAATAGAAGAGGGAGACGACAAACGCTTGAATTTCCTCGATACCACAATATGCGTTGTAGATGAATGTATCGAATTTGATTGGTACCATAAACCGACTTTCTCCGGCAGGTATCTTAACTTTTCGTCGTCTCATCCCGCTTGTCACAAACTGGGCACCATCAAATGCTTAACCGACCGTGCATTATTGTTATCTCATCCAAGATGTCATCGAAAGAACCTCAGATTCGTGGTAGACGTTTTATTAGATAATGGATATCCGCTCCCTCTCATTTTCCAAACAATAAGAGGGAGATTAAAAACAATATGTAAAAATCAAAAGTCTGGCTCCACTAATACTATCAACACACACACTAGTGACACTCAAAACGTAAAAAGATTTTTCAATATCCCTTATATTCCAAATGTTTCCGAAAAATTCAGACACGTAGTTCAGGACCTCAACCTGAACCTATCATACACTGGTCTCCATAAACTTAGATGTTTCATCAAAGTACATAAAGATCCGCTCCCAACGCTGTCACGTAGTAATGTAGTGTACAAAATTTCTTGCAAAGATTGCAACGCTTCTTATGTGGGCCAAACAGGTAGACTTTTATCTACAAGAATCAATGAGCACCGTAAACATATAAATAGGAACACCAAACAACTATCAGTTATCACAGAACATAGACATTCTGGCCACGAATTTGATTGGGGTGGGGTTGACATCTTGGATGAAGAACCATTTCTCTATAGGCGTCTCATCTCGGAAATGATCTTCATTAAGCGCCAAACGAATAGTCTCAACGCACAGAACGACACGGAGCTCCTGGGTGACTTATACAATCTAATCATCCAGGAGCTTAGCCAAGTTTAAAATCGTTTTATTAATTATTCATTTTCTTATTTATTTATTTATTTATTTATTTATTCATTTATTGTTTTGGTTTTATCAACTCCGGACTTGTTTTAAGTCCGTTTTAATTTTTGACTATTTACCCGTTTTCGTGAATTTTTTATTTTTTTTATTTATTTTTACTTTTTAATTTTACTGTCTTAATTCTGGACCATAGTCTTTCTATTTAGATATTCGGTTTCTCAGATCGTTCCTGGCATTTTATAACTTCCTAGACGACAACCCTTTACATTGGATTTTTTTAGAATTGTGAACTTGTGTAGTTTCGTTTCGTGCAGTTGAGACTCTAGTTATTTTAAGTTACATGATACAATCACCGAAGTACCATAAGTTTTTAACTGTTATACGTAAGAATTTCAATTTGTATTATGCGCCTTGAATGTCTACGTCGGTTGAGTTGACACACTGGCTTAAGTTTTATCCGGTCATGTTTACCACCCTTTATTATTAAATTTTGACTCGTTCCGATAACGCTGTGTCACAGTCAGTCTAACAGCGCCGTCACGGACTCATCCCTTGTCGAGTTAATCAGTCCTCTTTATGTCAGGCATCATTTAGAGATTTACCGATTGACAAAATTAGAGGATTGCCGTCGATGCGGTGCCGATCTATATTTTCGATTAGGAGGTACATGTTTTGAATACGTTGCGTCCAGCTATAGATATATATATACATATATAGAGAGTACAATTTTGTGTATACTTACATTTCTTTGTAGTTACTGAAGAAGACCCGAAGAAGGGTCGAAACGTATATATTAAATAGAAATTGAAGAATTATATTGTGAGAACTGAGATCCGTTCATTTTGTGGCTCACATTGGCATTTTCTCCTTCCTATATAA